TTCCAGGTACCCCAAGGTAGGTGTAAATCACCAACCTTTTAGCTAGTAGTCAAGGGCTTAATCAAGTACACCACTCCGCCGAGGCTCTACTGTCTCCATTCTCCATATTACAACAGAGGAAACCGAAGCTCAGAAAGGTTCAATAATTTCTCCAAGGCCACACCAGTTACAGAGAATGACTTTGAACAGGGAGCAGGGGAAGCTGAGGGGAAGCTCTCTGCTCTGTCTCATCACATAAGTGAAAAGAGCTCTGACCCCAGTTCTAGTCCCGACTCTGCCTCTTCTTAGCTGTGACTGTGGACGTTTCCTCATCCACAAAACGAGAGTTCCCTTCTCCTCTGACATTCTCTTATGGTAGTGCTTGTTCCAGGATCCTCCACTGGAGTTCCCCAAAACCACCATGCAAGCTCCTTTACCTGGACCAGTGTTCACAATTTCCTCTTTCCCTGGCTGCTGCTCCCACCTCTTCTACCCAGCTCCAACTCTACCTCCTTCAGGAAAACGTCCAAGGTCACCTGTTGTTGTTAAGTGCCAATGAGTCACTTCTGACTCATTAGCAACCCTTTATAGGGTGGTTTCCAATGAGTGACTGGTAGGTCTGAACTGCCAACCTTGTGGTTAGCAGTTCAGTGCTGATCTTGCAGTGCCACACCAGGACTCTGCCCCCTGGTTTACTGGCTGCATGTAATCTAAGTGGTGCCCAGGGTATTTTGGATAGATGCTTATCTTTACAGAGATGTTTCTCCTGCTTCCCCCATTAGACTGTGCAGCCCTGGCAAACCCTCAGAGACCACAAAGCCTTCAGCTGGTCTGGTGCAGAGTAAACCAAAAACCAAACTCAATGCAATCCCATGGATTCCAACTCACATAGACCCTATGGGATAAAGTAGAACTACCCCATAGGCTTTCCAAGGCTGTCATCTTTACAGAAGCAGACTGCCAAGCTCTTTAGCCAAAGTGATGCCAAGTTGCTTGGTCCAAAATAAACCCAAAAGCCCATTACCATGTAGTCAATTCCAAATCACAGTGACCCTGTAGGGTAGAATGGAATGCTCTCTAGGGTTGACAAGGCTGTGAATTTTATAGAATCAGACTACCTCATTTTTCTAATACGGAGAGGGTTGCTTGACCCGAATTGCCAGTTACTTAGCCCACTGTGCCAGGTCCACAATTAGTTGTTGTTAAGTGCTGTCGAGTCGATTCCTTGTATAGGGTTTCCAGGAAGTGGTTGGTAGGTTTGAACCACCAACCTTTCAGTTAGCAGTCCAATGCTTTTCTTATACTGACACACTAGAACGCCTCAGTTGTTGTTGTTAAGTGCTATCGCATCAGCTTCAACCCACAGCAACCTTGTATAGGGTTTCTGAAGAGCAGTGGGTGAAATTGAATCGCTGACCTTGCAGTTCAAACCGACTTTGCAGTCCAGCGCATTAACAACCCACAGTGCCACACCAGGACTCCTTAGTAGGGACCACTGAGTAAGAACTGACTGCTCACAGGAGCGGAAAGGCTGGGACACGAGATGTTAGGTGAGACAAGGGAGAAAGGAGAGGAGACGCAGAGGCAGAAAGGAGAGGTAGAATGACTCAGGAAATTCGAGTGAAGGAGTCCAAAAGAGTGAGAGGCAGAAAGACATTGAGGCAGGCCTGTAAATCCAGCCATAGGCCAGTGCTGAGCTCTAAGGGCAGGGGAAGAAGGCAGAGTGTAGGGGCTTATGGGGCCGAAGTTACCCAACCCCACTCTCCCTACCACCTGCCCACAGGGGCCAGCAGCCAGCCTGGCTGAGGGAGGTTAGAATGACCAGCACAATGCCAGGAAGAGGGTCACACAGTGACGATGCAAAAATCAAAGTGGCAAGACCATGAAAAGGAAAGGGCTAGCAGCCCCGAGCCCAGGCACCGGCCCAGCAGAGGTGAGGGGTGCTCAAGGAGAAGGCCCAGGCCAACAAGTGTGAAAGACTCAGCTCAGAAATGACAGGTGCTAATCCTTTATGTTACTTTGCATGTCATCTGCATGTCTGCCTGGCCCTGGTCAGGGTGCCCTGCTCGGGGTGTGGCATGGCGTGGCCTAGGCTGGGAGCAGGCCTAATCCCTGTCCTCAGAGAACCAAGGCCAAGTCTCAGGTCTCCATGGAGTCAAGTCAGCTCATCTTACTGCCCAAAGCCTGCTCCTGCCTGCTTGCCCTTAGCCCAACCCAGTGTCCTACTGGGCTGGCCCACCTGGTGGTCTCTAGATGTGGTGGGGATTGTTAATAACCGGGGCTCCTGGGAATGCCAAAAGCCAGTTGGGGGCTGAGGATGGGGCTGAAGACACCCAAAAGAAGGAAGATGAGAGGACAGGAGAAGAACAGCCAAAGTCAGGTAATCTAAGTCAGTTTGCCCCTCCTTCATCTCCCTATGGGACCGTGGTAAACACTGGGGTAAGTTCCGAGTTCTCTATGCCTCCCCGCTGGACTGGCCAGGCTTTGTAGAGCCCACCACCACCTCCTAGGGCGGTCCTGCCTGGCTCAGACTTCAGGGCTGGTAAGAAGAGATGGGGAGGAACCAGTGCTGGGTGCCCAGCAGGATCTGTGCTCAGGGAGGACAGGTGTTGCAGGGGTAGGGGGTATCATCAGACACTGCTGAAGCTTCCAGGCCCCCTGCCCAAAGCCTGACCCACCTGGAGCTGAAGCCAAGCCGGAGGTGGCAGGGCAGGGAGAGGCAAGGAGCAGGCTCACAAAGGCCACTCAGGGTGATGGTGAAGCACTGGTTTGTAGGTAGCAGAATCGGGTCCCAGCTCCCACTATCCCACTTACTAGATGAGAGACTCAAAGAAACTACTGACTTCTCTGAACTCCATTTCTGCGTCTGCAAAACGGAGATCATAATTCCTCTCACACTTCCCTTGACGGGATCAAAGAGACAGTGGCTATCAAAACCTTGGGAGACTCCAGTCTTATAAAAGCGTAACTCAGACTCTATGCACAGCACTGGACTCTGAACCACAAGGTCTGTGATTTGAGCCCACCAGCTGCTCTGCGGAAGAAAGATGAGGCTTTCTGCTCCAGCAAAGACTTTAAAAGCCTCGGAAATGCTATTCAGGGTCACTATGAGTTGGAACCAAGCTAAAGGCACTTTTACAACCAGAGGACCCTAAGGAGCCTGGATGGCACAATGGTTACGTGCTCAGCTACAAACTGAAAGGCTGGTAGTTCCAATCTACCTGTCGCTCTTTGACAGAAATTTCTAGTAGTCTGCTTCCATAAAGATTTACAACCTTGGAAACTCCACGGGGAAGTTGTACTCTGTCCTACAGGGTCAATAGGAACTGGTTTGGTCTGGTTTTTCAAAGCCTCCTGGTTTTTTTGTGTACATCCTCCCCACCTCCAAAAAAAAAAAACAGAGGGAAAGATAGAATGGAAGCAAATACTGTTGAATGATGATGCTCAGAGGGGATTGTAATTGCTGCAATGAAACAATGAGTGTAAAACCAATGTTCTCCCGCATAAACTATCACTCAGTTCACAATAAAAACTTTTTTAAAAAAAAAAAAAGGCTCCTGGCCTCTGTCCCTGTCCTATTCCTTCCTCCCAAGTAATCCTATTCCTCTGAGTGATCTCCCTGTCCTTTCTCCTCCCTGCCTCTTAGCAAGGGGACAGAGAGCCCATGTAGGTGACTGGATGCTAATATGGCCAAGACAGTTTGCCAAACACCCGTTTTCATCCTACTTCTGCCAAACAGAATTTCAACCCAAATCCTCTCAAAATCCACAGCCTTGTATTTCCCCATGCCTGGATCTGCCACAGATTGAGACTCAATCCTAATACCTCTACCTGTGATGTGGAGACAGAAACCTCTACCACATCAAATCGGTTAGGACTCACAGCACCCTCATGTACAACAGTATGAAACACTGCTCGGTCCTTATGCTGTCTCACAATTGTTGCTGCTTGAGCCCATTGTTGCTCCCATTGTGTCAATCTATCTGGAACCAACAAGGACGAAATTAAATTAAACATCCACAGAGCTTGGCTCCTAGTGGCAAATCAAATACCACAGGGCCACCCCAGACACCTGCAGTGCCTTCAGTCTTGCTCTTTGCTGGATGCCTCTTGCACACTGATGTTACCAAATTATTTGTCCCTTTAAAACACACAAACTTATTCTGTAAAGTGTCCTGTGTCCACTTCATGTCTTTCTAGCCAGAGGGGAAGCACTTCTGTCAAACTGAACTCCTGAGGCCTGGGGAGCAGAGGCCTGACAAGGGTCTTCAAACAGCTATTCGGTTTCATTTTTGTTTGTACTTTCCCAGATACCCTTGTCTTGCACTCAAAAGTCTACACGACAGATGTTGGTCTTTCCCACAACACAATTGCTGGGCACAGGGTATCTTCTGCATGTCTGATCAGGCCTTTTTTGATCACCCCAGCTGGGGGTGGCCCTTCATGAGTGCATGTTCTACAGTATCTTGCTTTGACCCTCTCCTGGGTCATTCCCACAATCTGCCTTTAATTATAGCTATATACTTCTGTTCAGCTTTGCTCCTAATCCCACTTAGATCTAGGGACTAGATGTGACCTATCCACACCTAGTGCACAGAAGGTTCAGGACACATTTGCTACAAGAGTGAGTCAATGAATGAGGAAATGCGCCTGCTGACTCCATTCCTAACAACCTCTACAACCAAAGTCGGAAGCTGGTGATGACCAGGAATTTGCCTGGGGCATGGCTTGTGGGTTGGTCCATCTAGAGAGACGGTCTACCCTACTCAGAGACTCTTTTCTCATCTTTCCCACCACTAGTTTCTCATCTCTCTGTTCACCACTTTCTACACCCATTCAAAGGATTCTCCTCAGATACCTTCCATCCCTTGTGAGCCCAGGAAAGAAGAAAGCAATGTCCACCTGGTAGAAGCACCAAGAAGTCATGTCCCTTCTGGTACTAGCTTTCTTTCCTAGCCTCGAAGTTCAAGGCTTGATCACATGCCCAGGGACCTGCTGCCCAGCCCTGACAGGCTCCTTACCGTACATCTTGCCCTCATCCGACAGGATGATCTTGCGCCGACCACAGGGTGGGTAAATGGCCAGGGCCTCCTGGAAGCTCTGTTCGATGTCCGGACTCCACACACCCTCTGCGTCATTGTCGATGGGCTTGTCCAATGCCTGACTGCCCCCAGAGACGTTGCTCCCCTCAGGGGAGTTAGGAGAGCTCCACTCGTTGGAGGTAATGGTGCCGGCCTTGCCCTCCAAGGCTCCGCTTGGAGGAGCGCCCTTTGGACCTGTGTGGGCAGAAACCAGAGCACCGGTAAGAAATGCAGGAACCGTGTGGACCGTCGGATGGGGTACTGCTCTTTTGGCCTGGCTAGTTACAGCACAAGGGCTTGGTGGGAAATGCCAGGGACTCCAGGAGAGGAAAGAGCTAACTGAAAAGTCTGGGAGAAATCAGGAAGCCTAGAATCTCAGGCAGGTCATTTCCCCTCTGTAGGAAATGGCCTACAAATGAATAGAAATGGCTTGGTCACTCTGATCTTGGCTCTAAGAATCCATGTTTCCCAGACAGAACTGAGAAAGAAGTAAGAGACAAAGAACAAACGTCAGGGGGTGGTCTGACATGAAATCAACACCACCAGATTCTTTTTAAAGCAAGACTTTAGCCCTGGTTCAGAATTATGCAAGGGTGACTTGCTGGCACTTTCACAGACTTGTAACCATAATTCTGCTCTTGCCATGAAAACCTCACTGCCGGTCGAATTGATTTCAACTCCTAGTGACCCCTCTATATAGAGTCTCTGAGACTGCAAATCATTACGGGAAAATGAGGGAAGCTTCATCTTTCTATTGCAAAGCGGCTGGTAGGTTTGAATCGTCAACCTTTCAGATAGCAGACCAAGCCACAGTGGTAATCCTTTGCCAAGCCTGAGTCAATTCAGGCTCTCTCTGGTACTCACACTGTCTGAACTGTAAATTTCTGGACACACTTTCAAGGCTTTGGGAAGGACAGCTATCACCGCCACCAGCTGCCATCAAGTCAACTTTAATTCATGATGATCCCACATGTGTTAGAGTAGGTCTGTGCCCCAAAGGGTTTTCAATAGATGATTTTTTGGAAGTAGATTGCCAGGTCTTTCTCCCAAGGCACCTGAGTGGTCTCGAACCTCCAACCTTTCAGTCATTAACCAACTATGTTAACCATTTGCTCCACCCAGGGATTCCTGGAGAGGGCAGTCATTGTTGTTGTTATGTGCCGTGGAGTCGGTTCCAACTCATAGCAATCCTGTACAGGGTTTCCGAGGCTATAAATCTTTACAGGAGCAGAAATCCTCATCTTTCTCCCATGGAACAGCTAGTAGTTTCGAACTGCTGACCATGAGATTAGCAGCAATTCGTAACCACTACGCTACCAGAGCTCCTTGGAAAGGACAGTACATACTAGTAATCTTATAACGATTTTTGGATTCGAAGTACCAGATAGGCACCACAACCAAACCGGATCCCCTAGCTTCTTCCCCTCATCTTCCCAGTCACTGAGGTCTGCAGTGTGGGGAGGAGGGAGGATGTCCATCACACGCATCACTCCTTTTCTCCCCTATTAGCCATAAGGCACAATATAGCCTAGTAGCTCAAGCCCAGGTCTTGGAGTTTACCATTGAGGACCCTCTGCAATAAGGCCTTCCTAGAAATTCCTTGCTTGTCTCTCCCCCCCCATAAGTCCCTCCTTGCCCCAAAACACATAATGAAATTCTAACCTATGTTCCTGTGAATGTGCCCCTGTTTGGAAACGAGGGTGTCTCTTGTTATAATGTCACACATACCTCATTAGGGGAGGTCCTAAATAATCCCCTCCTGCGGGAGAAAGATGAGGCATTCTGCTCCTGTAAAGATTAACAGCCTCGGAAACCCTGTGCAGGGTCGCTTTGAGTCGGAACCAACTCCACGGCACACAGCAGCAACAACAACAAAGTGGTATCATAAAAAAGGAAAACAAGGGCACACGGGAAGAATGGACCACTGTCTACATGCCAAGGAATGTCCAAGGCTATCGACAAGTAGCCCTAGTGTGGGCTGCAGGATAAACACTGGACTGCTAATCACAAGGTCAGCAATTCAAACCCACCAGCTGCTCCTCGGAAACCTGAGTTATTATGAGTAGGCACCGATTTGATGGCACTTGACAACAACAACTGACAAGGAGGGGTCCTCCACTAGAACCCTGATTAGCGCTGTTAGCCTCCAAAACCATGAGATAATACATATGTGTTCTGTTAAGCCTACTTTTTGATATTTTTTGATAGCAGTACTAGCAAGCTAAAACACCCTTCATGCCTCACACACAGTCTGTTAGAAGAGCAAAGTGAGTTTGGGAGTGAGGGTGGATATGTCAACCTGCAAAGTGCAGGCAAGAGAGCTGACTCTGGGTCTGTGATGGCATATACTAGGAGGGAAGTGGAGGGCTACTGGCAGACATGCACTCAGGAGGAGGGGAGAACCCTAGAGGGAACCTAACCCAGTCTTTTCAGTGTACTGAAGAACTGAAGCCCAGAGACGTCTATGGACTCACCCAAGGTCACAGAACAAGTAAGTGGTGCAGCTGATCTTGCTCTCAAGCCCTCCAGGATGCCAACCGTCCTCTCTGTGGCTTTTAAAGTAAATTTTCAAGAAAGTGTGTCTGAGGGGACCTCTTGACCTGAAAGAACATAGCTCAATCTTCACCAAGAATTCTGGTCTTCTGTCTACTGTGACCCTTAAAACATTTTCCTGTACCTTTCGAAACAGACTTCTTAAAAGAATTATAAAATTTTAACTCTGGCAGTATGGTAGAACTATGGTAGACAATCTTACTGACCATAATGCCAGAGACTCAAGTTGACAACTCTTTTTCAGAAGGCACAAAAACACTTTTACACTATAAAAGAAACTTAGAAATGATAGATAAAACATAACAACTATGTTTTCATTGTGGTAAAATATATCTAAGAAAACACTTGCCATTTCAACCATTTTTACATGTTCAATTTAGTGACACTATGTTTCCCAATAACTATAGACATCTGATCAGAAACCATTAAGTATTATATAATTATGCTTAAAATGACTATTGACTTAAAGAAGGAATTGGAAATATGAAACAAATCACTATCAGGAAAACAAACAAACAAACCACTATCAGGGCTGGGGACTTTAGACCCAGAAAGGGAGAGGGGCTGTGTGCTGACAACCGGCGGGGGGGGGCAGGCTTGCAGGGTATATACCCTTTGGTTGGTTGATGATGCATGGAGGGGATTGTAACCATGGCAATGAAACGATATACAATAGGATGAATGTAAAGCTAATGTTTTCCCATGTGAACTATCACATAATTCACAGTAAAACATTTAAAAAAAACAACTATCAGAAAATACAAATCAGATTCAGTGGGAAAAGAGGTAAATAAAATATTTAGAAATGAAAAGTTTAGTCACTGAAATAAAGAACCAATGGTTAAGAAGGAACAAATCTTTACAGCAAGGATCATTCCCACCCCCTTGATACACAGGGTAGACAGGAATGGGCAACTTGGACATTAGCTACCCAAAATGGGGAGGAGGGGGCTACAAAGGCAAGAAGTGACTGGCTTACAAGCTTTCAAGAGGGAACCTAGCTCCACAGGATACAGGGAAAGGTAGAATCTCCACTGAATTGTTTCCAATCTGACTGGATGTGGTTGATAAAAGGTGAGGGGGAAAGGACTCCTGTGGTTCAATAGAGAATGATTGCTATCAGGTCTGACAGTGAGTGTTAGAAAGGTAAATGTAAATGTTTGGTAACAAAAGGAGGAGAGAGACTGATTTTGCAATCCAGGAGCAGAGATCCCTGGAACCATCAAGGGAGAAAAGCGAAGTACCCTGTCCCAGAAGGCAATGGACGCTAGGGATGGAGGCGGAGGCAAAGATCAGAGATGATGACGATGACGTGGACAGAAGGAGCGGCTGGGGACTCTAGACTCAGAGAGGGAGAGGGGCTGTGGGCTGGTGGCCATGAGGCAGGCGTGTGGGGTGTACCCTTTGGTTGTTTGATGATGCATGCAGAGGACTGTGATCATTGCAATGAAAACAAAATATCATAGGATGAATGCAAAGATAATGTTCACCCATGTAAACTAACACATAATTCACAATAAAAACTTTGAAAAAAAAAAAAAAAGAGAGAGAGCCTAGGTCCAGAGGGCACGGAGGAAGGTAGAATCTCCACTATGTAGAATCCAATCTGTTTGGGTGGGGCTGATGAAAGGAGATGGGATAGGTCTCTTGTGATACAATAGTGACTAATTGTTATCAGGACTGATTGTGAGGGTTGGAAATGTAAAGGAGATGTTTTGTAGCAAAAGGAGGGGAGTGATTGACTTTGCAGTCCAGGAGCAGAGGGCCCTGGGACCACCAGGGAGAAGAGCGGAGTGCGGGACCCTACCCAGACAAACACTGACGCCAGAGATGGCGGCAGAGACGTGGAGTGGTTGATGCTGCATGGAGGGGCTTGTAACCATGGCAATGAAACAATATATGATAGGATGAATGTAAAGCTAATAATCTCCCATGTAAACTATCACATAATTCACAATAAAACATTTAAAAAAAAAAAAAGAAAGCCCAATGGTTAGTATTAACAGCAAATTAGATATAGCTACAAAAGGAATTAGTACCTAGAAGACAGACCTGAGGACATTATCCAGAAGGGAGTACACAGATAAGAGATGTATAAAAAACCAGGAGAAAAGAACAGAACAAGAGTTTCACAACTCTTCCACAGAATTCCAGAAAGTGAGAATGCAGAAAATGATGAAGAGCAACATTTGAATAAAGAATGTCCAAGAATTTTTCAGAATTAATAAGAGACATGAATTCTTCAATTACGGATCCCTACTGAGTCCTAAGGAGCTCTAGTAGCATAGTGGTTACAAATCGGGCTGTGAACCTTAAGGCCAGCAGTTCGAAACTACCAGCTGCTCCACGGAAAAAAAGATGAGGCATTCTGCTCCCGTAAAGATTTATAGCTTCGGAAACCCTGTACAGGGTCGCTATGGGTCAGAACTGACTCAACGGCACTTAACAACAACAACTGAGTTCTAGGAGTCCTGGACTGAGTTCTAGGAGTCCTGGTGTGGCATTGAGGGTTAATGCGCTGGACTGCAAATTCGGTTTGAACTGTAAGGTCAGTGGTTCAAGCTCACCAGTCGCTCCCTGGAAACCCTATATAGGATCGCTATGGGTCGGAGGTGACTCAATGGCACTTAACAACAACAACT